AGCAATATTAGATGGAATAAGAACAAACTGGAAATTCCTTCTCCCTCTGGTCACAGTAGATGATAGGAGCCTTCCAAGTTGCCTGAAGTAAAAGATTTCAAGAGAGATTAAGAGACAGAGACGTTTTTTGTCTGGTTGACAACCCTGTTGTCATTCAGGCTGATGTTGCACGGATTGAGGAATAGTGGGTCAGAGGTGAGTATCTTCTTATTTTGTCAGAGATGTTTTTTTGAAATCAAATGCTTACACAAACTGATACTATCTCTAACACTGCAAGTAGAGGAAAAAAGGCAGAGAGAAAAAACTGAGGATGCTTTTCCCAAAAGACTACAGCTATTTCAATGCAGCATCACTAATTAAAAAGCAAAACAGCTTTCATTAATAGATTTATTTTTAAGACAGGAATGCAAACAAGCAATGCAGGCATGACAGACGCAAGCCTGAGCTCCACTTGTTCCACCAGTAATAAGAGTTACAGAAAACAAACTCAACTATAAAATAAATGCATCAAAACATAAAGATTAACTTACTTGCATTACTGGGAATGCAATAATATGGAATAAAAGATGCAGTTAAAATAAATATGATATTTCAAAGGTTAAAAGAAGTTAAGAACAGCTACATTTTCACAGGACATGCTGAAATGTACAAAAAGATACTTAAAAATTAAATTATGAATTTACGAAACAAGAACCATTTATGGACAGCTGCAAACAAAGGCTCAGGAGAACCAAGAAGATAAGTCAAAAGGCTGGTGGAGATGGCCCTGTACCAGACAGAAGGAAGCACAGATCAGAATGAAGATCATAATAAAAAAATCACTGGCAGGGTCATTTAGCTGCTGTGACCATTAGAGTTGCTGCTGTAGGAAGCAATCCAGATGTTTCAACTGAGAGTCCAAGAAGTATGAACTATCTCTAAAGGCAGCAACAGCTGTAGGAAAGCAAGCCAGGAGTACAGATTTCAGTAGTCCAGGCCAGGAGGAACAGCATAGGGAGAGTCAGGAGCAAGTCTTGTACCTCAGTTTGCCACAGACACATTTTGGAGTTTGGTAAGCGCTGCACAGTACACCTATAAATCAACTCTTAGCTCCAACCATGTACAAGGCTGCAGCAGTAGCTTCCAACAGACACATATTATATGTGGGGCCATGTACTTAAGATGTATTTCTTGCCTTCAGTTTTGGAAAAACTGAGAAAGACGTCTTCAAAACTAGAGAAGAGAAGATGAGGCTGTGCCTACTAAACAGGGACTTACTAACCAACTACCTTTTCTCTCTTCATCTCTAACTGTAATACCATACACAGTATATTAATATATAGTTATAAATAAATGGTAGATATGCAGGCTCGTTAGTTACCAAAGATGTATACAATTGTGTATTTGGAGCTAATAGAGTTTGGGGAACCTATGGATTGAAACAACTGCTTTCTGCCAATTTCCCTTCTAGCTGATAAAGATGTTGCAGGTACCTAACCACATTTATGTCACCAGGATACTTGGCTTAACATTCTCAGGGATAGGTATTTTAAAAATAACTTTAGATAATAACATCTCTGTCTCACAAATTCTTTGAAGGATTTAAAACCTGATGTTATTTGTAAGACTTGGGCCTCCGCACATGAATTACAAAATTCTGAAATCATTATGTGTGAATACATACATACCACTAAAAATGCTAAACCTAATACTTTAGGAAGCAATATTTTTTGTTTGCTTAAACATACTGTCTCAAGACTCCTACAACTGCCAATTGAGACATTCTTCTTTATAATTCCACATACTTACAATATCCTGCTTACTCTTTATTTAAAATATTTAAGTGACAGCAAATAGCCTATCTGAAACCACAAAGAAAGGCAATGTCAAACACAACACCCAAGGGGACAGCAATATGTGTAATTGGATTTTATTCTATTTACGATTCTTCATCTAAAAGTAAGCCTGAGGGAACAAGCATTGTCTTCAGCTTGTAAATATGGAGAAAATTCAGAAATATAATTAGGCTGAAGATGTCCTATAGAAACCAAAACATAAGTAAATAATGGCTTTGCTTCTGCATTCTTATAAAGTACTGTTTTACAGGAACTACTGTATAATACTCTTTGGAAAAAGAAAGATGTGTGATTATATGGGTTTGTATTTATAATAACTGGCCACAAGCCAGAAAGGAATATCCATCGGTAGGCAATACTATCCTCAAGAACAAAATTAAAAGGCAGGGGGCCTTTTGTCATACTGGGAGAGCATCAATGGCTTAATCCCACAGGTTAGCCCCAGAGAGCCGAGACTAATTTATTGCTACTGGAAGATAATTGCTCAACTGGAAGTTTTTTTAAAATGGATTTAGGGATCACATAACCAGTGATTCTGAACAAACACTGTCTAAAAGTCTGACTAAAAGTGAAATTCCTGAAGGACCTCTAGCAAGAAGGGTCTGGCAGGGAGAGAAGGCTAATTAACATGGCTCAGCTCAACCCTTAAAAATCAGCTGTAGCTCCAGATAGACAACTCTGTCCAGAAGCTAAAACCAAAGTAGGTGGCAAAGTCTCAGAACCACAATTACATAAGTCGACAAACCAAGTACAGTGCAACAAAGCATTAAGATATTATGTAGTAACCATCTTATCTCCTCTGTAAGAAGAGAGGAGTGCAAGCTTTCAGTTTTGTATGCTGGTGAAGGTCTGGGAGTTGTTAGCATATATGACTGGGTTCCCTTCTCTCTGCAATTCCTGTCCTCCTAGCTGAAGAAATCACTCTGTTGGGCTAAGCGGGTATTTTTCACTCATAGCTTGAGAGCAGGTATTTCACTGAAAACCCCAGGCAGGCTGATTCAGTTTTAAAATGGTAGGAGCTCAAACCATCACACTAGGTGTTAATAATTACTGCTATGAATTAAGGCTAGCCTTTGCTGCTGGCCTGGCAAGAGAGTCCACTAAATATATATAATCAGTTTTCATTAATATTATTTAACAGCAAAAAAAAGAATTTTAATTGTCCAATGGGATCTCTCATGGTAGAAGGGTAGTTTCATCTTCTCCAACTTCCCAATGTTTTTTCTCTTTTTTCCCGTTTCCTTTTTATTAATAATCCATCTGGACTTTAAAAAGCTTGAACTAGCAGTACATCAGGACTCTACACTTGGCTACTCAAAGAAATATTTCTAATGTGCCCATAAGCTTCAGAAGTGTTGCTGAACACTGTTGTTAGATGGTAAAGATAGCCACAGGAATACATGCAGCAAAATTTGAAAGGGAAATGCTGCTGCTGCAGTTCCCTCCGCAGCTCCTGTTTTAAAAAGACAGGTATCCCAGGATTTAGAGGAGTGACGCATTAGCAAGCCCGATTATCCACGCATGTCTATCTTCCTCGAAGACAAGCTCACTGGGCCCTGATACGACCAAGAAAAAGTACAGTTATGCGAATTACGATGTCTTCTCAGTGGGGAACAATTACAGCTACAATGACTACTGCATATTATATCTTGAGCTATAGAGCACTACAGCCTTGGAGTAGTCTTACAAATATGAAGCAGAACGAAGAACTTTCAAAGCCAGTCTTAGCTTATCCCAAACCTCAGAGAGTCAAATGTAAAAGTATCCACACAGGGAAATGAAACACAAACCCATTGTTTTAACAAGCACATTCAGCACATGAAACTCTGCTTAGGAAACTGAGCGGTGAAGAAAGCTCAAAAGTTTTAGTGGTCAAAAAACAGGTCCCACCTCACCCACCTTTCAGCCATTTTGAAGTGCCGCACTCACAGAGGCACTGTGAAGCTGGCACTGGGAGGAGACCCATGGGCTTTCCCTGTCCACGCTAGCAAAATGTCTGAGTGACAGTCATACATTACAAGGATGCTATCTTGCAGCATTTTTTTTTTTTGTTAGTTTGGCCAAATATATGCAATAAGGAAGAATTTTTCTGATTTTTTTTTTAGATGGTAGCTGTTCTCATCTAACTTCATATGTCGTAGATGACACTTTTCAGTGAAAGAACACAGAAAATTAATCAATCTACGGTATAAGACTAGTTGATGTACAACAATGATCAGCTATTGCAAAATAAAATTCTTTCCTCTTTTTTAAATATTTTCTTTTCTTAAACCAAACAGGCCTTCTGAGTTTTCCAGGAAAGAGAGATTTATTTTTTTTTCATGAACTTCTCAATTTCAAGAAACTAAATACTGGAATAAAGCTCTCAGTATGACAAGTGAAGATTTAAACACTTCCAAAGTAGAACAACAATGGGACTGATGTCAAAGTGCAAGACAAGTGTAACAAATATCATCTGGGTGATCTATACACACACGACACATTCTGCATGTCTGATTGGCTTCCATTTGATGCTAAAATCATTTGGCTGACTTCCAAGAAAGTAACTGGATCAAGTCTCTACCAATCTATCTTTCCATTAATTTCTGCTAATAAACTCCCTCCTTCCTGTGTGATGATTCTCAGTATCTACCTTAGAAGGAAAAATTTTTTAAAAAGTGAGATCAGCTATGAAAATGCTTCATCAAAATAAGTGAGCAAAAAGATTAGGGAAGATGTTATATGCTCATATAAAAAGCAGTACATTCAGCTAATATAATTCATTACAGCTCCCTCAAACTCGGTGAACCTACAATGACTTACCTCACTGAAGATCTAGCACTGACAGCCTAAAGCAAGCTTACTCAGGGGTTTTAGGGCAGTATTGTCTTGTCTTAAGAGCAAATGTTTGAATGGAGGGGAGGGGTTACCGACACTGTAACAGTATTTACTCATATACTCTGGCTCTGAATCAATTTTACAGACTTCACAAGTTCTTTTATGGAAATGTTTAAATACTTACATTTGTAATTATTTTTAAAGAGAAAATATTTTAAAATATAGTTCATATGCCAATCATTTTTGCTTTAGCTAACAATCAGTTTCTATGAAACAACTGACATGACATTTTACACAAAGTTACTGTTACTGCGTTTGCCTTGAATGTGTGCTCTTTTTGACTCTTACCTTCACATTTTCTGGATGAAGCCCTCCAGGGTGTTTGTCCATGTACTGACATAAATCAGTGTGCTAAAAGAAAGTCAGATGGAAAAAAGTGTATTAATATCTGTATGACTGCAGCAATAAATATCCTTCTACTTAGAAGTGGACAGAACAAATGGAAAATAATGAGATTTTTCAGCCACACGTGCACACACACACACTTGTACCTTTACACTCCATTTTATTTAACAACCTTGGTAACTTGACTGATATGAATATTCATCAAATGTAAATTAATTTTTTCCTAATATCCTGTATATGGTAAATTAATTACTTGAATTTTAGTATCATTTTATACCTTGTAAAGACAATATCACCATCAACACCATAAAGGTAATATCTGGAGGGAAGAGGAAGAACCTAAAGGGAGAACCTCAAGTGCTACTCTCAATTATTCACATTAAAACATTGCCTTTTAAATATAATTTTATGGTGATTCTAGATTAAGATGGCTTAATGGTTTAGAAAATAAATCTGAAAGGCATTGCATATCAGAGTACTGAATGATACTTTCCAGCTCAAAAAGAAGCACATATTATGCACATGTACAGCTATTAATTACAGCTACTTTAGAAAACAGCTTCACTGAAGACTCAAAACTTCAAGTTTTCACTTCATAGTTGCCTATATTCCCTGCAAATATACCATAAAAACTCTTCAGAAAATAAGCAGACTTGCAATGTATAGATTAATGTTATTTTTAATTAATAAGTATTTATTGCTTTTACCATGGAAACACTATTTTCTCTGAATTTTTCTCTTGCATTTCTTCACTTTCCTACCAGTCAGCAGCACACTTTCAGTGAAGTGGCATGTTGCTTCTCTGATTCGCTTGCACAACTCAGCTTCTGGAATTATGTTCAGAATAAACAAAGCAAAAATATGCACTAGATTAACCACCAAAAACTCAGAGACTGACTCTGCCTTCCACATCTGGTTTCTGAACACGTCTGGCAAAAATCATCCAGCATTCCTTGAAAAGCTGCTTGGCAATACCTGCCTCACATACAGCCCAACTAAATATAGGCAGTTTTCAAGGTGGGAGTTTTGGACAAAAGCTGCCTTCAACATAGCAGAATGGTTTCTCTGTGCAGCACTTCCGAGTCCAGAAGCCATTCTCTAGTGCTCTTTTGCAGAGTTATATGGCTAGAAGATGTGAACTTTCGTATGTAAGACACAAAATTTGTGCTAGCCACAACTGTTCTGTATAATCTTCTCTTCTGAAGTCATAACTACGAAAACACACTGTGCATGTAGAATTAACATTGCAATGACATAAGATGCACTGTTGATTAGGTTGTGCACTAGCACACCTTTTTTCAGGAATTCTTACCCGGCTTCAAGAGAGTGAGTGCCCTGACTGCAGGAAATCGCTTGAGTCCCAAAATGAACAGTGTGAGTATCACAAGGGCAGAGGGCACGCTGAAACAGGCAAAGCACACTAAATACAACACAACACAGCTTCTTCCAAAACACAAGCTACAGCAAGCAATACTTCAATTAATAGTTAACACATCAGTGAATGCATTTACAAAGAAAATGAAAAAATACACCTCTACCAGTGAATAGTTACTGTTAGTGAAACGCATTTTGCATAAAGTCTATGTTTAGCTTAAAGACTTATTCCTAGTTTCTGTACAATCTTTAGCCACTTCAGGTATGTAGTCCTCTTCTATTCTCCCGGTTAGTTTTCTGGGACTGTATAAATAAGCCATGCCAAAAATGGACCAGTCATCCTTCAGTATGCATCACTGCATTAGCCAGTTTTGTCTTGGTTTACTGTATCAACACCAAGGAAACATACTTGAACAAAGTCATCTGCTAGCCTTGTCATTTGTTTGGAAAAACTGACAGTTTGTGAGTACTAACCCCAGCACAAGAGTCTGCCACTGGCAAAATATCAGCTGAAATACCATTACTACAGGTGATGGCTGGTGTCAAGTAAGAAGTTCGGGGGATTCCCCCCATTTTAATGAGTTATCTGTTACTAAAGAGAAATGCCAGCCTGGTGGAATAACACGTTCTCTTTAACTTAAATACAAATCTTTGAATAGCGATAGCATCTGCAGTGCCTGGGAGAAGTTTAAAGAAAAGCCTGAAATTTTGCTTTAGAAAGCCTGGCAGGGTGAACAGGGCAGTGCTGTCCCATCCCTATCATGGTGCCTCAGACACACCCGTCACAGCCCCCGAGCACGGCACGCTCCCTCGCGTGGGCTGGCTGAAGGAGGAGGATTATTATTTCCCCGCAGTTCAGTCTTCCAGCCTTTGTGGGTGACAGATAACCTGGTAAGTGGGAAACTTACTGCCTCCTTCACCTTCTACTGATTTCTACGATTTGCAACTAGTCAGCCAACAGAAACTCAGAAACCAGATCTGAGGAAGACAAACCCAATGTTACTTCTGAAGGTCCCATCCCTGAAGCCCCAGCACCCCAGCTGCCCACTAGCTGCACCTTTCTATTCACCAAAAGCTTTCTAAGAACATCCTCTTCAGAGTCACATCACTAGGAAGAGCCATAAGTCATCTTTTTACTTCCAATATACTTGTAATGAATTGTGAGGATAACCCCATTTTCTTCCACTTATATTTCAGTTATTATTTGGATGCATTTCCTCCATACATGAACATCAACGATGATCATCATTCGCCTCTTCTTCCTACCCCAAAGATCAGGACAACTGGTAGCCTGGTATAACCTTTTGCATCAGTAGTTCTCTCCTTCAAAAACTGATTGTTCGCATCTACCTAAAATTCAATGTAAGCAGCAATTTCTGCAGAATCCTGGAAAACTTACAGAGTCAATTGTGCAGCAGTCTTTTGGCATCTATTTTTTTCCCCATACACATGCTACAGACACAGAAAAACCTCTACCAAATCTTCACTCAGAGAGTAAACAGAAATGAAAAGTCTTTTCTGTTCAAATCTTTCAAGAATTTGCCCTCATAAAACTGTTAAGAGTCCTTCTCATAAAAGCAACTAAACACTATGGTACCAACTGGGAAAGCAACTTATAAAGTTACAGTACATTGTTTCTCACTTAAAAAAAAAAAAAGTAGCAGTAAAGCAAAGGCAGAATCAGCTGCTCTTCTTTTCCCAAGGTAGGGACTCAATGCACATTGAATTAAATATTAGTATAGCCAGGAAAGCTGACAGCACTGCAGGGACAGCTATTTCTAAACCTGTTTTCCCTTTTGGCGGGCAAGTGTCTGCTCCAGTGCTTGTGTGCTCAACTGACATTGAAGAAGGCAACATGAATGCAAGTTTCAGGAAAGCATTAAAAAAGAAAACAGAGAGCAAACTGTATGAAAGCAGTTTTCTAATGGTATTCCATGAAATTGGTACCATGTAGATGAATGGAGTCTTTTTCTTCATGCTATATTTCGAGGTAGAAGGCAACATACTTTCCCAAGTGGAACAGTGGCTGCAGATACAGCATGCCATACTCTGACACTAGGGTCTTTGCTGCGGTTACCACCTTGATCTAATAAAATATATACCCTAAAGGAAAATTCAAGATACAATTACCTATTGGCAATAACATAAAACTATGCTGAAACAAGGTAGGAAGACAAGAAACAAACCAACCAACACACCTTTTACAGTCCTTTCTCCACTGTCGCAGAGGGTGAGGACACCTCACAGGGAAGCAGGATACACTGGGAACGCAGTACAGAGACTTCCAAGTAATTGCAAATACCTGTCACACACATCCTGATCCCAGGTGGACCTGGCTAGACCAATTCTGCTCTGAGCTAGCTTTTAACAACTCTATCAGCCATACTGTTAATCCCCAACACACATAAATCACCACAAGTAATCCCATACTGACAGAACATATGATATTTTAGCTTAAGTTCAAAATCCCATTAATTCCTGCTCTTAACACTCCACCAGCTTACCCACACTTATATGTACAAATAATCTATTAGCACTCATCTGTTCATAACAGCTACACAAAAACAATAAATAGAGATAAATCAAGTTTCCATAGTGAAGAATTCAAAAGCTAGGAAAGTCCAGAATTAATGGGGTTTATCCAACCTTTTATTTGTTTGCCCAATAAATGTACATTATGATAACTTTTTAAATGCGTAATGTGATCACATATTTTCCCCCTTCACAGGATTAGACATACTGAACAGAATAGGAGGTACTTGACTACAGAACAGCTGTGCTGGTTTTATGTTGTGTTTGGTTTTTTTTTCCATTCTCACGCAGCTTGCAGTCTCTGGCTTATTTACTACTTTGAAGGCAGAAATATTAATCTCACAGGCTTTCTTACCCTGCTCATTGCTATGCTATTCACACTTCACAAACATAAAATAATTTCATAGCAATCCAGGGGAGATGTGGCATTATTCCCTTCTATCATGTAGAGAATTGAAGCAAAGAGAAAAAAGTCCTAAGTATCACTGATTTGGGCAACTCCATTTAAAGCACTTCGGTTTTGGCTTTTCAGAGTATTTGGCACTATTTCGCCTTCTGTGTTTTGACTGACTTCAGTTACAGCTGTGAGTGTATAATGCTTTTGCAAGGGAGACTGAGAATCTCATGCTGAATAGCAGAAGTCAGTCATATCTGAATTGGGATGACAGCAATTTGTGATGGTGATGATGATTCCCAATATAGCAGGGATGGAACCCAGTTCGCTACAGCAGTATTACCTGCCTTATCTTGAAACGATACTTTGAATGAGGCAGGAACCCCAGAAGACACCTGAGTTCCAACATCCACAAAAAATGACAAAAGTTCAACAACCACCACATGTCTTCACCCTATAGTCCTCTGCAGAGCTGCACAACAGGCTCTTCCACAAGGATGGCAAAAGGAGATTGCATAGGCCATCTTTATCTTGGCGTCCTCTAATTTTAAGAACTTGACTTTGCCACCTCATTAACACAACGTTTTGTGCAAAATCTGTTATGCTTAAAGTGAACAATTTGATCTCTCCTCCCACTACTGCCTCCCCCAGAAACAATTTCACTTCCTCCCGGGATGCAGACTACAATATTTGAAGCGAAAGACTA